CCAGAACTGAAGACTCCCTAACACTGTGTCCCATACTCAAAATCAAATACCTGGACCATAAACAAAATCCTATAAATCTGAATTCCACAAACTGACTCGGACCTCAGAGCTATACAGATCAATGTAGTCTTTTTCTTCTCTATATAAGGACTCAAATCCACAAGGTGTATTAATTCCCTTAGAGGCTTTTACCCAAATTAAGTATCCCATGATGCAGCAGGTCCCTAGGGCTATATAGTATACCATATTTTTCTGATTTTTTATTTGTTTGTCTTATTTTTATTTTATTTTGAGATTGTAATTATCTGTTCTGTCTCTTTAAGAGACAAGCCACGCCCATTCCCTCCCCCATATGCTGAGACAAGCTGATCTTCAGCTTCCAGCCTGAGTTCTCCTTCTTTTTCCATCTCCCTCTCGAAGAGGCAGCTTCTGTCTTTTCCAGCTTCTCCCCTTCCCCCGTCTCTCTTCTCTTTCTCTCTCTTCTCTTTCTCTTTCTTCTCTTTCTCTCTCTCTCTGTTCTTCTTCCCCTCTCCCTTCCACCTCCATAATCCACTGAATAAATATCTAACTTCACTCTGCATGGTGTGTCTATCCATGTCTCTGTCTCTGTGCTGTGTGTCTCCCTGCCCTGGACCAGCCACTGCTAGGGGACCTGTAGCCATCTCTGCCTGGAACTGGCTGTTCTCAGGGCCTGCTGCCTGCTGCCACATGGCCTGTTGCCAGTGTTTGGGGACCTGCGGCATTTCTGCTGCCTACTGCCACCACGGGGGATCCTAGAGCATTTTTAATAATTCATTTCACAGAGTCCCTTTATGTAGCTCTGGCTGCCCTGGAGGTCACTATGTAGACCAGGTGTTATGGCTTAGATAAAATGGCACAGTTCCCCGAGGGGTGGCAGAGGGCCGTGGGGGGCAGACGGGTCCCACCACCTGAGGCCTCTGTGGGTCCCAGGTGGGTGGGAGGCAGCAGGGAATGTAATGGTCTGACCTGTCTCTTTATATATATATTTCCCCTGTCTCTCTTCAGAAGAGGTGGCTCTTCTCCTCTCCCTCCTCTCTCTGTTTCTCTCTCTCTCCCCACCCCTTCCCTTTCCTCCTATAACCCACTGGATAAGCTATACCCTACCTCACTTTCTCTACATGGCATCTGTCCGCCTCTCATCCACCATAGCTCCTCGTGGAACTGGCTGCCCCGACGCCTCTCACCCGCCTGGGACCCACAGAAGCCTCCGGTGGTGGAACCTTGCTGCCTCTAATGGCCCTTTGCCACCCCTCAGGGAACTGTGCTGTTTTAGCTAAGCCATAACACCAGGCTAGCCTTGAACTCTCAGCAATCCAACTGCATCTGTCTCTGGAATGCTGAGACTAAAGGTGTGCTTCACCAAACTTGGTTGATCCTTTTGATTCTATTATATTGGAATACCATCTGGGAGACCTCTGGGAGACTTTTCTTCTCCCTGACTGGTTTTAGAGATGCCAGCATCAACGGACCATATTTGGAACAAAAGCTCTGTTGTTTTGGATGTGACATGCTCCTGACAGGCTCATGTATTTGAATACTTGGTCCCCAATTGGTAGTGCTGTTCAGGAGTCTGTGAAATCCTTAGGAGGTAGGACCCAGCTGGAGGAAGTTGGCTGCTGGAGGGATGGACAGTGAAGACCACTTTAGTCCAAGCTGTTTTCTGGCCCAACTACCATTTCAGATCTGTGAAATGCTACCGTTACTACAAATTGACTTTAGCCCTCCCCAACATACCGTCCCTATTATGGGGGGCTGGCTCCTCTTGAGCATATCCCAAATAAGCTTCCATTCTTTTTTTCATCTATTTATTTTACATCTCAGCTGCAGCCTCTTCCCCCCTCCCCAATCTTCCCCTCCCAATACCTCTCCCTTAAACTTCTATACTCTTAAATTAATCCAGGAATTATGTCAAGAAAAGATTAGACCTAGCCTATTGTCTATTTGTTCCCCAACTTAAAACAACTGGTATTAGCTAGGTAGCAAGTTGCATTAAAGAATTCAGTCTAAGGTATAACAATTGTCATGTGCTCACTCCTCGTAGCCTTATTGATTTAGATTGGAATAGAAGAATTTGGCCAACTCATCCAAAGTTTTATGAAGTGTTAATGAACTCTTTAATATATTGAGCTAACAATACCATGCTTTCTTAATAACTGCTGAGCAATTTGCCAGACACTATTTAAACACTTATTTTTTCTCAATTAACTTTTCAACTATAGTTTACACAATTATTATAAGCAAACTACATATGAAAATCCAGGTATACAGAGATTAAATATTTGCTCTACTTTATACTATCTGGTAGGATGTAGAGCTGGGGCCACGCATGGTGGTGTATGCTCTTAATCTCAGCACTTGGGAGGCATAGGCGGGTGGATCTCCGTGAGTTAGAGAATATCCTTGTCCACATAGTGAGTTCCAGCCATCCAGGAATGCATAGTAAGATCCTGCCTCAAAAATAAAATTCCTCAGGAAGAATAAAGATTGAAATGTAGAGCTGCACATTAAATCCAAGAGGCCTGTCTGCAGAACACATGCTCTCAATATGAATACCGAAGTTTTGCACCCTGATGAGTTCAGTTGTGTCATGCAGACACACTGTATGTGCAGCTCCCAGAATCTGCTACTTCTGCACACACCTCCCACCCTAAGAACATGTAACTACCAGTAGAACTGAAATGCACAGTGAATGCCAACAATTGAACTCATCCTTTCTCTCCGTAAGTTTTAATCATTGTCCTATAAGATGTCTATCCTTTTTACACATATCCCCCCCATCTCTTTTTTGAGAGAACATTTATATGGTTTCTCTGTGTAACTCTGGCTGTCCTGGAACTCACTCTCTAGACCAGGCAGGCCTCAAGCTCACGGAGATCTGCCTGCCTCTGCCTCCTAAGTGCTGGTATTTAAGATACGCGCCACCACCACCTGGTTCACACATTTACTAAATGCCACTTTTGTACCATTCTATGTATGTATGCCTTTCACTATAAATAAAAAATAAATACTGATTATTCTGCCTCTTTTTAGATTTCATATACAAGCACTTGATAGGGACACATCAATAGGAGCACTGCACATTCTACATTATAAGAGTACATTTGTACTTTGCATTTGGTAAACAGAAATCCGCACTTAAGCTTTGGAAGCAATTCAAAAAATATACACTGCTAACAGTGTGTTTGTTCTGAGGTCATCTGGAACACTTAGGAAACCTGGCTAAAGGTCTGCCTTAAGGATTTCCAATTCAGTGAGTCTGGAGTAGAGCCTAGGAATGTATACTTCTTGTGGATTGCCAGCTGCTGCTGCTAGTGATTCACACTAACTAATTATTAGATCACTTAGCATCCTGGTAAGCGAGGTACTTTTTTGTTCAATGAAATGCATACGAACTAGACTTCCATTTCTCACTGTCAAGAGTGGAAAACAATTCATGTTAGTCCCAACAAGCTGAGGCAAATCTAGAAAGAGAAGATATAAAAATGAATCGGAGTTGCTTTTATTGACATAAAAACTCTGGAGTTTATGCAGCACAAACAAACTTTTATTTTTAACAGGACTAAATGCAGTCATATGCATCCATGAAAAATCAGTGTAAGGTCTGATGTCAGAGGATGGCATTTTTCTGCGATAAACTGTAGAACAAAGAAGATTAATGGATAACTTTTTCCCCTCTTTCTCCACACATTTCTTTCTTCTAGACTTTGCAACTGTAAGAAGAAATAAAACAGAAGCAATATTTTATGCCATCAGAAGACATTAATGATTTTCCAAATCTGCTCGATTCTGGTATAGCTATCTCCTCTCAGTAGGAGAAACTAAGATACCTTCTTCTTACGAAACAGAACCTTACCTACAAGATGCTTAAGACTTAGATGACTTTACAAAGCCATCTTGGAAAGAAAAGGGAGTAATGGAAAGGAGAAGGTGACAAGGGAGAGGGTAGTGAAATATGTAGGGAAGGCACCTGATGTATACTGTATACGTGCACTAACTTATATAACCTTATATAATACAAAAAGTAAAAGCATTTGAGGGCATCAGTCATGTCAATTTCATTGCCCTTCTATCCACCACAAAAAAGTGCTCATTTATTTCTCTAGAGAACCTGCTCCAAATAAAACTATCTCCCTATGACCACTAACAAAGCCTACACATTCCCTCAACCTCCCAGGACCTCAGTTGCAATATCTTTAAAATATGAACAAGATACTCCAAGACACTAAAATTGAGCATGGCAGACAGAGGTGAACAGAGGGGGATGTAAGATTCCAATTCTTCATTCAGTAAAAAATAAAAAGTCACCATAATTTTGACTATTCCATGAAAGATAAAAATACCAGCTAAACTAATATGCATTAATCATGAAGCATGGTTTTATGTGAAACCCTTGACTTATCAGTACTTTGTGAATAATCAGCCCTTTGTTTCAAAGTATTGTTAGAATGAAAGACTACATTTCTGTGGCCGTGAAACAAAGGTGACTTTTTCTATTGGTCTTCATTACTAGGTACAATCAATTCCCACTTGTAGTCGTCTTATAGCTAAAGGATAAAGAACTTGCAGCCAGTAATGAAATCCATATAAATATATCAACTTCTTTGTGTAAAAGTACATTATTAATTTCAAAATGTTTATTAAACTATAACAGAATAGTTTAACATAAATCTTCTAATAATAGGGGTGTATATAAGTATATAAGTGGTTAGTTAATACTCTTCTCTCCCTCCTCTCCCCTCACTCCCTTTCCCCACTCCCCTTACTCTTCCCTCTCCCTCTCCTACTTCCCCTCCCTCTCTCTGAGACACGGTTACTCTGTGTAGCCCTGGCTGTGCTGGAACTCACTCAGTAGACCAGGCTAGCCTCAGACTCACAGAGATCTGCATATATCTGTCTCATGAATGCTAGAACTAAAGGTGTGTGACACCACCACCAGGCAGTGCTCAGTTAATGCTAGGAGCTATAAGCATATACCTACTTTACACAGGAAAGTAGCATTCTGGAGAGTGATCATCCTCATAGTACCGGTCATCAAAAGGCCCTCCTTCTGAGTCTCCACTTTTATCATCACCCCATTGCTCCTCATCTGAAATTCCTTCAAATGCTTCATCTGATGTTTCACACTCAGATGCAATTGGTTCATCAGTGACCACTGATTGTGACTCCAGAATGCCAAGGTCATGAAAGTAGTAAGACAGCTTATACTTAACTTCCTCATTCAGGAGTCTATCAACAGTTAAACCTAGAGGATACAAATGTGAGGGGAAAATTAAAAGACTGCCTGGATCTTTTTAAATAACTGCTACAATATTTCTATTGGACTCATATTCTCTACCTTTTAAGTTTTCCTGGTGACAACTTTTCCTTCTTTCCCAACACTAGGATTCTCATTATTTCTGGACCATGGAATGAAAGGGAGCAGAATCAAATTGTCTGATCCTGTTCTGTATGTTTTTAGCAAAACTTCATGGAAAACATGCTGTGTACACTGTAAAGATTTGTTATTGATATTGGTTTAATAAAATGCTGATTGGGCAATAGCCAGGCAGGAAGTATAAGTGGGGCAACCAGACAAGAATTCTGGGAAGAAAAAAGGCAGTGTTGCAGTTACCAGCGAGGCACAGAAAAAGCAAAATGAGAGTGCTGCACTGAGAAAAGGTATCAAGTCAAGTGGCTAAACATAGACAAGAGTTATGGGTCAATTTAAGTTGCAAGAACTAGTTAATAACAAGTCTGAGATAACAGAACAGACAGTTCATAACTAATATAAGCCTCTGTGTGTTTCTTTGGAACTGAATGGCTATTAGATCAGGTGGGACAGAAACTTCCATCTACAAATGGTGCCCAAACATTTGGCAAGAATTTTCATATAAAGCATGAGAAAGCTTTTTTAAAAAAAGGTTCTACATGGACAAGAACAGAGTCAACTGCAACTTCCTGGTAACCATCTTTTCTCTAGAAGGCTCTGTTTGCTAGAGGCAACCAGAGGCACAGGTCCTATTTAAGAAAGGCTTCTTGACTCAACATTAGCAACAAAACTGCATGGTGACTCTCTGAAGAAAACCTATCACCAAATGCTAAAATGGTGTTTATCAGCAGCCAATGACATGCTTCTTGGTGGTGGCATGAACCTAGAAACTCTCAAGAATTGTGGTAATAAATATGGCTCTTTCCAGTACCTCTGCCATGAAGCTAGACTCTCAGGAAGTCAAGGAATGGGGCAGAACCAGCTGCCAAAGCTGCAGTTTTAATCTTAGCCATGTGGCTTAGCAGATTAAAGATTCATGTGATCAGAAAAAGATAGTGATGTAAAGTAAAGACAAATTCAGGTAAAAAAAAACTCTAAACAGTTTACAGTGTGTTAAAAATATACATAAGCTTGGGAGAGAAAAGATAAAGGACAGAAAAAAATTCTAAATAAAGAAATAGAGTAGTTGGGTGTGGTGGCACACATCTTTAATCCCAACACTTTGGAGCCAGAGGCAGAAAGATTTCTGTGAGTTTGAGGTAAGTCTGGTCTACAAGTGAGTTTCAGGACAACCAAAGATATACAGAGAAACCTTGTCACAAAAACTGAAAAGTTAAAAAATAAAATTAAAATAAATAGAGTAAGAAAAATGCCACATAAAGATGGAAAACATAGAGAGAGTCTGGATACTGTATGTTATTGTGCTATCTTTGAATTGTTTGACTGCTGAGGAAGGAGCAACAGTTGCTAAAAGACATTTGATTATAAATGCTGTTGGATTACTCCAACCTATACATTTTGAAAATGCCTTGACTTCAAAATTTAAGTCAAAAGATATGTTATTTTGGAGAAGAGATTTTGCTTTTGTTTCCACAGGAAATGAGAGGCTGTGGATTCATTCTGGGTTAAGAAAAAATAGGGTTTGATTGAGAAGCAGCTCCTGAAAAATCTCCAATGGGAACAGACGGCACAGATGATGCAATGTTTTAGAACACCTCTGTTGCAGGTTTTTTTGAGTTCTACATGTAGAACAGCCTCAAGGCTGCTGGCTGAGATGACCTAGCCTCACAGAATATTCCATTCAGGACTTGACCATGATCCTAAATTTTCTTTGCGTCCACATAAGATTATCAACACCCCCAATCAGCAGGAAGTAGCCTAAAACACTACACCCACATTCCCAAAAATGGATTATGGATGGTTGTCTTTGTTGGTTACAAGTTGTTATGGATAAAGGTCAGGAAAAAACCTAAACAAAGGAGATTAGATTCAGGGTTTTTGTTCTGAAAATTAAAAAGGGGAAATGCTGTGGGATAATGCTCTTATACACTGTATAGATTTGTCACTCATATTGGTTTAATAAAACACTGATTGGCCAGTAGCCTGGCAGGAAGAATAGGCAGGACAAGCAGACTAGGAAAATTCTGGAATTAGAAAAGGCAGAGAGAGTCAGTCAACAGTCAGATGCAGAGGAAGCCAGATAAGAATGCCTCACTTAGAAAAGGTTCCAAGCCATGTGGCTAAACAGAGACAAGAATTATGGATTAATTTAAGCTGTGAGAGCTAGTTAATAATAAGACTGATCTAATAGGCCAAACAGTTTGTAATTAATGTAAGCCTCTGTGTGTTTCTTTGGGACTAAATGGCTACAGCAGTGGGTGGGACAGAAACTTCCATTTAAAAATATATACATCTGAGGCTGAGGCAGGAGGAATGCCATGAGTTCAAGGCTGAATGGGGTAACATAACAAGATATTCTTCATTAGGATAGAAAAAGACTTGGGAGAGAGTTCATTCAATAAATGCCTTGTAAGCATGAAGATCTGAGTTCTATCCTTTGAAACCATATATGTATATGTACAAAGAAAAACATAATATTTTATATGTATTAATATTTATTGAACATTTTATTTATATATTAAATATAATTTATATAAATATGTACACAATATAAATAAATATGTGAATATTAAATACATTATATCTAAAAATAAGGCCTGGTGGCCATCACTGGTAATGATAGGGTCACAGAGGTACATAAAGGTAGATTACAGGGAATGACTGACTGCCCAGCCATCTGAGCACAATCTGCAAGTTCAAAATCAGGGAGAGAGCCTCTCTGTTTCTTTGTCTCTGCTTCTGTCTCTCTCTCTCACAAGCAGGTAGGTGGTACCTGTGAGTCAACACTCAAGATTGTCCTTTGGCTGGCCTTTTACATGTGTGTGTACACTTTCACCTGAGCCACTAAAAGAGCAAAAACTAAGAAGTGTGAAGATGTACCTTAGTAGCAGGACATGTGCAATTTGAGGCTCAGAAATACAAATTAAAATACAAAGAAAAAAGGAGGAAGGATAGAAATAGGAGAGAGGGAGATGAGGAGAAAAGAGTTCATTTGCCTTCAATTAAAAAAATAAATTATGTTAGGTTTGATGTTGCTCAATCTTTGAAGATAAAACTAATACATTTTTCAAGTACTCTAGTAACAGTTTATTTTCATGGATCTCAGAGGTTAATTTGAAGGAAGCTTACTTTTTTTTTCTTCAGGGTCTTTATTAAATTGGGCTTCTACTTGAGCACACTAGACCCAAAGTTTCTATAAACTGGACCACCACTTAATCAGGATGGACAAGTTTGAGCAAGGGTTTTATGTGAGCCAGAGTGTCAATAGCAGCAGCAAGAGTGGGGGAATTCTCTGTGTCTGCAGCTGGACAAACCCAGGTTGGCGGGATTCCAACCATCTGCAGATGGCTAGCCCTCCTGCCCTTCAGTCTAGGCTCCCCACTGTTCTGCCTTCTGAGATGTTGCCTTGTTTGTGGCGTCCCATGCCTCCTAGCCTGGTAATCCCCCTCCTGCATAGTCACCTTCCCATTCCCCAGCCCACAGGCTCCTCTGCAAGGCTTCACATCCCACCTAGTGCAGTGCCTGCCTACCACACAGCACTTGTGGTGCTCAACCATAATAAGAATAAGGTCTTTCCGTCAGATAACAGTGAAGAACAAATTCCATTATATTCTAGAGTGGGGACCAAAATATAACCATAACTCACAGACACTTGAAGTTCCTGAATCATCGTCATCCTCCTCTTCGCTGTCTTCTTCGTTCACGTACTCCACGAAGTCCAAGTCCTCATAGAAATGCTCGCCGCACTGGAACTCAAATTCACCATCTTCTTCATATTTATTCACTCCATATTCATCTCCCTTTTCTTCCTGCTCCTGCAACATGGCGATGTCATCCACCTCCTGCTTCTCATCATTTTGCCAAAAGATTTGCAAGATTATCTGGAATATCAGGAAACCAAGAAATCCCACAAAGATAAGCCATTCAAGAGAAAACAGAACTATTATGAGGAATTCTTCCCTCAGGACCAAGTCTTCATCGATATCAGCTCTGCTGCACAGGCCACCTACAGCCCAGTCTTGATAGCTGATGTAGGCCATGTCACAAGCAATACACGAGGGCTAAGTTGTGCTAAGCTGCACAAAAGCCAAAGCCAAGCTCACGGGCAGCAGTTCACAGGAGTGCAGCACTGGGGATTGCACAAGTGGCTGTAGAAACAGGGCATGCTGGGAAGGGCAGAGGCGGGGCCTCACCCCTAAAAGGAATTCTTCTGGGGAAGGGCAGTCTGAGTCTGCGCAGAGAGGACAATTTCTGAGGAGAAGAGAAAACCACCGGATATGCTGTGATGGTTAGCGGAAACTCCAAGTTACAGAAGGCCAGCCTCTGGCCTCATGAGCTCTAAGCTCATTGGTTGAGAAATAATTACCTGCAAGTCACACACCCAATGAAAGATCTAGGTTCTCAGGAGGCTGTAAGATCTTTGGATGGTCACGTGGTCTTTTAAGTCTCTCGTCATGATGGACGAGAGCGTTCCAATATGGACACCAGCTTTATTTTTTTCCCAAGTCCCCTGGGACAGCTTGTGGCAGGAGGGACACAGGCTTGTAGTGTGAGAAAACACAGCTATGCATTACTAACAATCCCCAATCTTCATACCGAAAAAGGAACGGACATTTGAACGTGTTAACAGTATTAAGAATTTTTTTTTGATTTTTTCTTTTTTTTTTTTTGAGACAGTGTTTTTCTGTGCTTTGTAGTTCTGACTGCCCTGGCACTCCCTCTGTAGACCAGGCTGGCCTCAAACTCACAGAGATCTGCCTGCCTCTCCCTCCCCAGTACTGGGATTAAAGGCATGTGCTGCCATATCCTCCTCAGGCTCTGTTAACAGAATTAAAACTGCTTTTGGCCATTGCTTGGCAAAGCTCGTGGCACTGAACATGATGGCCTGTCACTCAGAGATACCAGAGCTGCTGTAAGGGTTTTGTGGTTCAGTCTCGCCCTCCACCTCCACCAGCTTCTCCACACAAGCCACATAGGGTGGGGTGATGCTAGTACGTGGACACAGCAAAAGAGACACACAGGTCAGAGGATTATAGGAGGCATGAGAAGAGGTGGCAAAAATCTCTGTGCACTAGTAGTCTCCAAGGGACTCTAACAGAAGGGCTTGTCATCTGTTCACATGGAATCATGCAATTGACATTGGTTGGAGGGTGCTCCATTAAAGAACACCAAACAAAAAGCCGAAGTCAAGTTTGTAATTATGGACTATGTTGTTTCCAGGACACTAATGGCCTTAGATTTAAGGGTTTATTTTTACACTGTGGATGTCTGAGGACAGTTGGCTTTTCTTCCTTTTTAAAAAAATTCCCTCACCTTACACACTTTACACAAAAGCATTAAAACTGTACACAGTAATGAGGTAATATGTGTAGTATAATAGACATATATGTTGCATAATATTTCAGTCATGATAAACATGATTAATTAAAACATTCTCATTTGTTTCTGGCAGATGCTTTCGACATGCTTTTTAAATAGGAGTTATATTGCTATTATTTCTAGTCACCCTACCGTGCAGTACACATGAGACCTTTCTGTCTCCCCAGTGTCCATTGATCATTACAACTTACTAATGGGTTATGCAAAGTAATGGATTTTACTCCGCCATTTCAGACATGCATATAGTTAGCTTTGCAAACCATCACCCCCATTGTGCTCTCTGGTTCCTCTCCACTCCCTTTGTCCCTCTCCTCTCCAGAAGTAGATTCCCTACTCTTTTATGTTATCTGTGTGTGTGTGTGTGTGTATGAGCACACAAACAGTCCCAGCCACCCATATGTGTAGCACAAATTCATTTCCATATGTAAAAAGCCATGTGTTTGTCTTTGATTTTTGTCTCATTATCCTTTTTTCCTTACCCCTTTCTTCATTTTGGTTCCCTGCCATCTTTCAAATAGTCTCCCACCCCCTTTTATACTTATTCCTGTCAAGTTGAAATTAAGATTCTGCCTATGAGAGAAAATATGATGTGGCTGTCTTCTGAGACAGTCTTACTTTTCTAACATGATAATCTCCAGTTTCACCCATTTCCCAGCTAATAACCTAATTTTCTTTTTTTATGGCCTGAATTTCCATTGTGGTTATGTACATCACATTTTACCCACCTATTTTTGGAATTCAAGGTATACCTTTACTTGATGAAAATTGTGGAATAGCTGTGTATTTCCATTGTGTATATATGCATCACATTTGTATCCACTTGTTTTTGGACTTCAATTTTGGCTTGAGGAAAATTGCCACAATAACTAACCATGGGTATGCAAATATCTCTGTTGAATAATGATTTATGTTCCTTTGGGAGCATATGACCAGAAGCTACAGAGATAAGATTTCTAATATTTTCTAGTCTGTGTAGTAATTTCCATAGTGGCTATTCTAATTTACATTACCATTAGAGGTATATCAGGACACCCTCCACATATTCTAGTACTTACGGGGTTTGTATTTGTTTTTTCTCCATAACATACATTCTGACTAGGATGAGGAAGAAATTTTTGACTTCCATGTCCTGATGGAAAGCAATGATGAACATTTTCACCTATTTTAGGCAGTATTCTTTTGCTTAGAATCTTTCATGCTTAAGATTCATTTTACCTGTGAATAGAGAAAATCGTATTTTCCTCTTGAAAATTTGAAAGCCTGTTATTTAGCTTTATTGTCTGTTTGTCATGACTAGAGTGTTCGGTACAATTTTGAATAGAAGCAGTAAAAGAAGACCTTGTTAATTCATTTATTACATTAGAAATGATTTTATTCTTCCTAATTATGTGGCTATGTGTGGGGGTATGTGTAGGTGCCCCCAAAGACTAGGGGTGCTAGATGTGGGTGTGAATGTGCAGGGTAGTACATGCCCTTAAAGACTGAGCAGCCCCCATTCTTATTTATTTTTAATCTTACAGAGAGAAGTTAGGTGAAAAAAAAAAGCTGGGAAGATTTGGGAGGTACTAGAGGAGGGAGAAGAATATGATCAAAATATATTATATGAAAAATTTAAATAAAAAACTTTAGGCTTTTAATACTCAGTATCATGGTACTTGTGAGTTTATCATAAATGGCTCAATGATGTAAAGTTCTCTCCATTTTTGTGTATGTATGTATGTGTGTGCATATGTGTATTTAATGCATGTAGAAAGATTGATAACATCCAACTCTTTTCTGTATCAATGGAGATGGATATATGGTGTTTTGGTTTTTTCCCATATTTATTAATTTATTTATTTTGGTTTATTGGCCTCGCTGTGTGTACCTGGATGTCTTGGAACTTGCCCTGTAGACCAAGCTGGCTTCAAACTCAGAGATCCGCCCGTCTCTGCCTTTCAGGTGGTATGATTAAAGGCGTGTGCCAAAATGCCCTGCCTTTTCTTCTCTTTTAATGTGTTACGATGATTGTGTTTTGTACAATGAAGCATCTTTCTGTTTCTGGGATAAATACTTCTTGACCCTGATGTAAATCCTGTTTGTATTCTGTTGGGTTTTACTTGCTGCTATATATGATTCAGGTTCTTACATTTATATTTACAAAGCATTTCTTTTTCCTGATGCCTTCACCTAGCCCCAGGGTCAGAGTAACTCTGGTTTCCTAGACTGAATTAGAATGTGCTTCATACTTTCTTTCTAGCAAAAGAATGCAAGAGATATTGGTGTTAATTCTTCCCGACAGTTTTGGTAAAATCCACCACTGAAGGCTATTTGATTACTTATTCAGTGCCTCTAATTACTAGTGGTCCTGTTTCATTTTATTTATTATTTAGTGTTTTTGGTAGTTTTGCTACCTAATACTTGAGCTAAGTATTCTCATTCGCTGTCATGCAATTATTCATACTGCACTCTCTTATGGTCCTTTTACTATTATTCATGAAAAATGCAGCAATGTCCTTAATTTAATTTATGTCTGTGGTGATTTCAGTTTTTCCCCTTTTTTATTGATTGGTGTAGCTCAAAATGTTAGACGGGTTTCCGGGACGAGCTTCAGATCCCAGAGTCTAAAAGGATTCTACTCAGCTAACCATCTATCCGTGAACAGTTCACATAGAAAGGACTTTACTTGGCTAACTATCTCTCTCTGAATAGACTATTAATGGTGAGAACTGAATTTTGTCCTAAAACTTACATTGACAAATTTTCACATCATCACGTATTACATTCCTGGAATAAATACTTTGTGTGTGTGTGTGTGTGTGTGTGTGTGTGTGTGTGTGTGTGTGTGTTTGCACATGTATTTGAGGGCCAGAGGTATGCCTCCCGACCATTCCTCTGAAAATAATACATGTTGTTTTTAATATGGATCTCTCACTGGCCTGAGCTCACTGACTAGCTTCATTGCCTGTGTGCAAGCTTCAGAGATTGTCTTGTCTCTTCTCCCCTCTGCTGGAATTACAAATGCACATGCGTACAGGGCTTCATCTGGGGTCTCTCTGGATAGATCTGAGCTTGTCATGCTGCTGAAGCTAGTGCTTTATCCACTGAGCTGTCTCCTTAGTGCAAATTTTACTTTTTATTTTTATTTTTAAGATTGTATTATGTCCTGGCCAGTTTTATGTCAACTTGACCCAAGTTAGAGTCACCAGAGAAGAAAGAGCTTCAGTTGGGAAAATGCCTACATAAGACTGGGCTGCAGGCAAGCCCATTAGGAATTTTCTTAATTAGTGATTGATGGGGGATGGCCAAGTCCATGGTGGGTGGTGCCATCCGGCAGTGGTGATCCTGGATTCTATATAAAAGCAGGCTGAGCAAGCCATGTGAGTAATGCAGCAAGCAGCATCCACCCATGGCCTCTGTTTCAGCTCCTGCCTCCAAGTTTATGCCCTGCTTGAGTTCCTGCCCTCACTGCCTTGATGATGAACTGTTCCATGGAACTGTTAGAGAAATACTCCCTTTCCTCCCCATGCTGCTTTTGGTCATGATGGTTCGTCGCAGCAATAGTAACCCAAACCCTTCACATTCACAATTCTCTCTTCCTAAGTCACATCTGCTACTGAGCTGCAATGGGCATGGTTTCCTTTTTGTTGCTGTGCTTCTCATTTCCAGATGTTCTGTTTTC